TTGCACCTTTTATTGCAATTCTTTAGTGCCAGCTCAGGTGATTATTGTGAATGCCAAGGCAGTGAAAGCCATAGGAATATTGTGCAAAATAATACAGCTCTGCTTAGTTTTCCTTCCTGCTTTCCCATCAGTCTTATTCTCCTAAATCCACTTCTGTTATCCTTAGCATTGCAATAACTGCCCTTATTCATCTGCCTCATTAGGATGCTGCATCAATTAATATGCATCGGCCTACTATTTTTTTAATGTTTAATATTATTATCAGTGGAGGGCTATGTTGTAATGAGTCTATCTAGGGAGTTAGACATACAGGAAAAGCCCCTATGCATAATGCTGATCCGAATGATTCCTGTACCCAAAGCCTCTGAACAGAGCACTACTCTCAGTTTCTGTACCCGTGGAGGTTACAGATAGCACCTCTGGTCCTGGGGCTCCAGGTCTCAGGGTCATGTTTGTTTTTGAGGACCAGGAGCCCAGTGGGCAAGGCACAAGAGTTATCTTGAGGGGAGATGTCATGTTAATGCTTGGTTCACAAATGCCTCGCTGCCTGATTCAGGAGGGTAATCAACCTGTCCTTTGAAGCTGCATAAATAATGTTTGGATGGAGGTAGTATATCTACACCAGGGATGAATTAACTGCCATTGAATCATACATGCTTGGCTAGAGTGTGAGGCTTGTAACATGCCTGAGGAAAATAAAAAAGACATTTTCAAGAAAAAAAACATTAATTTAATCCTCCCTATCTTTTCTGTAGTTTTCCTCTAGTCAAACATGACTTTGTGGGCGGCTTTTTTGTTGCTGTTTGTTCCATTTTCACAGGGAAACACTGATTCACAGTGAGGTGCATCCACAGTTTCTCCTTGTCGGGCCTGAATGTTCCATCTCTCTCCTCCGTCAATGTTGCTCCTTTTTAGCACCCCTGCTAGAAGATGCCAACTGGGCTCCTTTGACACTGAGAGGAGTGACACCTTGCAAGAGGGTACAGCCTTTTTACCCATAGGGACCCCTGGCAGCATTCGTGCCACCCACCTACCCCTGAGGCTCCCAGCTAGAGCTCTTGCCCAGGCATGGTCTTCTCCACGTGCATCAGGGAAGAGAACATCCATCTGCAGGGAGACCAGGCACACAGGCTCACATGTCCATGTGCAGGTGTGCACTGCAGGTTCTCTGGCTGCGCATTGCGTGCACAGATACAAGTTGCTGCAGCCCCAAAAAAAGCAAAGGAGTTCTGTATTCGTGACTGCCTGAGATAGCAGGGATAAAAAACTGTCCTAGAAGATGGTGGAAAAGAGAAGAAACCTAGAAAAGGCCAACGGCAGAGTATCACAAAGAGAACTGGGGCACTGGTGTGTGCCTACATATCAGTGTGAGTTACGTTCCTTTACTAACACTCACAGATCCAGCCCTCTATTGAGTAACGTGTACATCTTTAGTTTGCTAATGGCTTTTACTTGTCTTCAGTTTCTGATCTCTGATTTTCTTTTCTACTGTTCCCAGTTTTGTATCTCTTTCTGAAAACTTGATGTTTGCAATTCCTTTTCCAACTTCTTAACTGTATCCCTCTAACTTTCTTCCTTCTCTTTTGACAGAGCACTTGTTGGCTCCCTTCTTCTCATCTCCTCTTTTTTCTCTTTCCTCCATTTCTATGGAATTTTGCTAACTAAAGGGGCCTCTGGTTCCTGAATGCATTAACTTATCAACAGTAACAAGTTGTTTCTGCCTCTAAAAATTTTTCTGGGAACCAATGTATGCAGTGGGGTAGCCTTACAATATAGTAATATTTTAAAGATAAGCATTAGAAATATACTGTATCTAGTAGACAGCACAGTTTCAGAATGTACCAAGATCTCTTATTAGGCAAGAAACCTTTCACACCTACCATGATTCTGACACCCTATATCACCCAGTATGTAGTCTCAAATCCAGACCATAACTATATGGGGGTGTACCTCTGAACCCATATTTTGGTTTTAGAGATACCACTATTGTGGTTCAGAAATATTACAGGTTTTTAATCCAATGAAGAAGAAAAGAACACTCCTTATCAATAAAATACTAACAAGAAAAAACACTGTGGAGAATGGCTTATGGTTTACATATTGCTTAATATCAGTAAAAATAAATGTGTTCATTTCTCCAAAATACCTCCAGATGGCATTAAAACCCTTCTTCTTTTGCTCTTTATTGCAATATTATTTTTAAAAATGATAATTATTGAAATCATTCTATTAAATGTTCCCAGCAATCATGCTATCAGAAGGCATAAGGTTGCTAATGCTTAATTCATTTAATAAGTTTGCCTAAATGCGCTTGCATACTATAATTACATTCCACAACACAATCTGCAGGACAAGCCATTTCTTACACCGTGTCAAATCTTTTTCCAGATTAATTTCCAGAAGATTTTTAATGCGTATTTGCAGCAGAAATCAAAACGTCCCACCATAAATCACTGTTATTGTACCTCCTTCTGTGACTACTTCTGGCCATGTAAAAAATGGTGACACCTTGTGAGATTTACATGATATAATGCTCTGAATTTAAATAACAGGAATCAGAAAACATAAATTATGGGCCAGATGCACTTAAAAACTCACATGACTGACTGTTAGAAGAACTTCTCTCTCTCAAATGGAATTAAAAAGGTGAATGATTTTACAGAAATTCATAATGCTCCTGTCTGGTAGTTATTAAAAGAATTAAATTATCTCGCTTAGTTTGGAAGACTGATGCTATTTTAAAATTTTTTTTAACTTGCAGCCCATCTGTTGCATAGACTGGTTTATGTGGGCAAAACAATTCAGTCTTTTGTATACCAGAGTAAAAAATGGTAAAAGGTTCTATTATTGCACTAAAGTGAAGGTGAACACTGATATATTACAAGTGCCTGTTCCTATCTATTTCTTGACTTCTTTCGTTAATTCAAAAACATCAACAAAATCGTGAGAGACCAGAGATAACTGTAATTGGATTTCAAGTAATTCAGAGGTGAAGCTGCAGACTGCAGTCTTTTAAAATTACATCAGTACATCAAAGGCATATGTGACATGATGTTTTTTAGCAAGTGTGACAAACTCCAGCAGCATTAAGGTAATGTTGAAGTAAGGTTCTAAAGGCCAGCCTTGCACACCCACAAAAATAATCTCATATCTATTCAGTGTGATATGGAGCCATTTCACTTGCAAAGATTGCTGACTTACTAGCATGCAGAAGTTCTAGGAATAATTAATGTTTAGTCATTATCTAAAAAGCCGTTTTACGAAAAGCATCAGTGAAAGAGCTTTATCTTAATGAAAACAAACAAATTCTATTTTGCCCAACAAATCTGATAAAAACACAGCTGCCTTCTCCAATCTTAAATGCAAATGTGACTTACGATGTATGGGTTGCGCTTTTCTCTGGGGTCTTTGGCTCTACATCACTTTTCCCTTTAAAAGAGAAGAAGAAAATGACATCAGAAATGGGTAAAAAAACTGCTCAGATGTGACTCATCAATGCTTTATTCATTGCTAACACTGACCACTCCTGCCACACGCACACAGACAGCTGTGGAGGCAACCACAGCGCTGCAGGGGCACTGCTGGAGCATTTGCAAGCAGGGAGTCAATCCTGACTTGACTTTCCTTGTCACTGACAAGTGCTCCGTAAATGTAGGCAGAGAAACTCCACAAGAGGAGAAGCTTAGAGAACACAGGCTTTACCAGGGAGAGCAGACCTTGGAACAATGAAAAGGATTTCTCTAGGGCCCTAGAGCTCTGCTGTTGAGATTGTACTCCATACAACATGCACTTGCTCCAGAACCCTGCTCCAGGAACAGTAATTATTTCGTACAAAGCAAAACAGCGTCAGCCTAGAGAGGAAGGCAGTGATCAGGGCACAGTTCTGCCAATGGGTATTTTGGTTCACATTCATTTTGTCACGTTAAGGATTTGAGCTTTAGCTTCTGTACATGGGGGCTGGGGAAGCCCTCTCTGCTATGCTGGCTTAGGCACTCAGTGCCAGGAGAAGCCAAATACCCAAATGCTTGAGAGGCACCAGAGGCCCAAGGGATGCCTCTTCACATTTCCTTATGAATCATATGGGTCCTGGTATGCTAGCCTGTGATGATCCCCATCTTGGGTCCAAAATAATGTATCTGCCCAACACAACTTAGTTACATAGCATGGAGAGTGGGAGGCAGGCTGCTGGCAGGTGGGGTGTTATTGCTTCTCCTGAGTCAGGCGCAGTCCTTTCTACCCCCTGCCAAAAAACAGTAAAGCTGATGTTGTTTGCTGTAATGATTGTTCTCTGAGTAACCTGAGAGAGCTGCACTCCAGCGTTAAGATTTCTGTGTAGCTCTACCATGGATTTAGAGGGTATGCTACTTCGCTTGAATCACCTTGAACTTGAATTCTGGGCCTAGTGAGTGTGCAGATGCTGCTGCTCTTGTGTGTCGCTGGATGCTAAGAGCTGTCTACACATGAGTTTATGTTGCCTAGCAGACAAGGAGGTGCAGAGGTTGAATGTGACTGGTTTACTGATGGATGTGTTTTACTCCATTACCCTATAATGAGCTGTGTTAAGCCAAAATCCACCTATTCCTTCTGAAAAAAACATGAGAAATTCTTATTTTGGACAGGTTGTTTTGGTGTTGCCTGATGTCCTGCTCATTGAGCTGAGTAGGTTTTGGAATCAGTCCCAACCTAGTCCATGCACATGAGCATTACGCATCCTCTGTTTGCTGCTGACAAAGACCTTACCCTCAGTTTCCACAGAGCAGCAGCTGTAAAGGCACCTCTGGAAAACTTGCTGTTGCCTTCAGAAAGGCAGGATTCTGCAACCAGTGTTCTTCCACTGCTGTACAGAAGGAAGCTGAAGGACACTCTAGATAGTTACCTTCTGGAGGTAGCTGTCCCGTAGTAGAAGTTTTGGGTATCTCAAACACCTTGACATAGTGCTTTTAGATGTCATCATCCCCTCTGGTAGGGTTTGTGTCTATTCAGCTGAGGTGTTTACTGAACAGGATGGGTAAGACTCTGAATGGCTTCAATATCACCAATGCCTTCACGGACCTCTAGGGAAACTCAGCATTCACTGTAAGAGGACAGCTAAAGCCACCTAAAATTTAGGCATGAGCAGGGCATCCACACGGGATGGAATACATCCACTCCATAATCTCCAGGCCACCCTTCACTTTCAGCAGAGATCTCAGAAAGTATATCCAGATGGTGAACTTGCTGGCTAGGAAGCCGTTGCTACAATATACTTTTGTCAGCCTTCCGGAGCCTGGAGCCCTGGAGCTCATCTGCATTATGGTAATTTGGAACAAGAAACCAACAGTAACAGTTGGCATATATTCAAAGATTTTCTATTTGTAACTTGGGTCTTCTCTAAGTGATGAATTATTACCATGAACACTGGTTTGTTTGAGTGTGAAAGGGAATATGGATTCCTGAGTGCTTTGCCAGCAGAGTTCACATCAGTTCTACTTTCAGCAATGCATGTTAATGCAGCAACAAGGGAAACAGCATACGTACTGTGAGGAAACAGAATGTCTGCGATTTAGCCAAACTGGATATTAATGGATTACCCTACCATAAGCATTTGTAGCTGCTTTTATGCTAATTTTCACTTAGCATACTTCTGTGTGGAAAGGAAGGATGGAGCCTGTACAGATGGTAGAACTGCATCAGTCCAGCCTATCAGAGTAGAAAATCTGGCCATTAATGCTTTATCAGTTCTTACCAACTTCATTCTCACTTGACTGAATCATAGAAATTTTACAAATGAGTATAGCTTAAGCACAGTTGAATGTCCTAGATACAGTACAGATAGTATTTTTGGATAAGGGTATGTAAAAGGTATTGGAATTTTGGTGAATCACTCAACCAAATTAAGATTTGATTTTGATTTTTTTCATGTAACCTGTCAAATGCATGCAGGTACCATTGAGGGAGGCTGGCATTTGCTGAACTGCTAAATCTTCTCTAGTTTTGACTGCTTCTTATGGGCAGATATGTGTGAACCTTTGTTTTTCTTAGCCTTTTTGGAACTAACAAAGAACATGCTACCCATCTTGCTATGGGATTGCTGTTAGCACGCTTTGTTTCAAATGCTAAGCACCGTGTATGTCTCCTGAAACAGATGTGTGTCAGTGGGTCTATGCAGAAAACACACAGTGGAAATAATCAGTCCACAGATCCTTAGCCACAGAATTGGGAGGTCTTTGCTAGTTTCTGCCTCATCTCATGAAACTTCTTACCCAACCTTTTTAGGTACAAGCAGAAGATGTGTCCAGATTTCTCTAATTTCAAAATAAGTTTCAAATGATTTTTTGTAGGATTTCCCCTATTGAATAGTGGGTGGCCAGAAAAGGAATTTTCTCCTCTTAGTTGGAATTTTGGTGAATCACTCAACCAGATTAAGTTTCCCTTTCTGGGTAACAGGGATAAATTATATTTATTGTGATGGAATAGTATAATTTCAGCCATTATGAGTTTTTAAATGCTTTGACTTCCTTGTGGGGGAAGGATGACAGCAATGCAAATGCTATCCATGAGAAAGACAATGTTGGCAGCTGCAGTAAAGCCACTGCAGATGACAGGCTCAAGAGCCACTCCAAAGAAGTCAGGGTGCAATGGGAAAAAAATAGCTAATTGGGCCTCTGAAGATGTGCACTTGGATAACACAATACATTGACCATTAGAGTTGTTTCTCACAGAGTAATTTGCTAATATTTCCTGGCAGGATCTGTGGACCCATGGAGAGAGGAGCCCACACTGGAGGAGGTTTGCTGGCAGGACCTGTGACCCTGTGTGGGACCCATGCGGGAGCAGCCTGCTCCTGAAGGACTGCACCCTGTGGATGGGGACCCATGCTGGAGCAGTTCATGAGAAGCAAAGGCTGTGGGAAGGGCTCATGAGAAGTTCATGAAGGATTGTCTCCTGTGGGAGGGGCCACACACCAGAGCAGCGAGGTGTCCCCTCCCTGAGGAGGGAGTGTCAGAGACAAGGTGCAATTTGATTTCCTGACTGCAGCCCCCATTCCTTGGTCCGCTGCACTGCTGGTGAGGAGGAGGTAGAGAATTTGGGAGTGAAGTTGAGCCAGGATGAAGAGATGGGTGAGGAGAAGGTGCTTTTAAGGTCTGATTTTATTTCTCATTGTCCTATGCTGATTTGATTGGTGATAAGTTAATATTATTTCCTCAAGTTGAGTCAGTTTTGCCCATTACAGTAATTGGTGAGTGCTGTCTCCCTGTTTTTATCTCCATCCATGAGCCTTTTGTTGTATTTTCTCTCCAGTGTCCAGGAGAGAAATAGAGCAACTTTGGTGGGCACATGGTGTCCAGTCAGGTTCAACCCACCACACATCTGAATAATTTTTTCCCAAATTTCCTTTAAGTTTGACATACATGACTGGTAGTCTATATCTCATTCTTACTGTGTTTTATCTGATATCTTATTCCAGCACTTCACCTGGAATTCTCATGGATACAGCTCTCAGAGGTAGTCAAACTCTCTCTGTGATGTTAGAAAATGTGTCTGAGCATCCAACAGTGACCCTGACTTTTGCCACCAATAAAGAAGATATTTCTGCATGGGTCCAGCTGTTCTTCAGTTTGGTTGCCATCAGCTAGGCAGTACCAAGTGTAGCTTCTGCCCAGCTGCAGATTTTACTGAGCAGGATGAATGAAGAGAGGAGAAACTGGAGTATGGGGGTGTAGGAGGGATGGGAGAATAGGAAATGAAGTGGGGTCAGAGACCACAGGAGTAAGAAGCAGGGAAAAGTTGTAAGGTCATAGGATTCATTTTGTAATACACAGGAATGCAGGTTTCATTAACTCTGCTGAACAACCTATTTTATTCAAGTGTTGGAAGAAGGAAATACTCAGGTAGGCCCAAAGCTGGCCAAATACTGTGGCTTCTGCTGTCATTGCAAAGCCCTCAGCTCAGCCTGTGTGTTTGTCATGCTTGTGCCTCTGCCTGTGTTTGCATAGTCCTCTCTATTATGGTTCTTTTGTGCTTCTTTCTCTCATTACTGTATTCATTATTTTCTGACAGAACCTCATACCCTTTGCCTTTTGTTTTTTCCTTAGTGCTGGTACTCGCGGCAGTATCAAACCAATTAAGTGACACCACTGCATGTTTCTTCACAACGTTGTCTTCCTCTTGCTGACCTGTCCCCAGTGAAGAGCCACAACATTTTAAAAGCCTGCATATCCCAGCGTTGTCTCTCTGTATGTCTTTTCCCTCACAGAGTGGGTGACCAGACCCCTTCAAAGTCCTATCTACAAGCTCAGGGCATTTTTCACCTTCAGTCACAGCCCTGCAATTTGCAAACTGGGCTATGTGTTTGCTGACAGGTCAGGAAGTTAGCAAAATAATTCTTTTCGTTGTGATGATTTTATGTGAAAAGCAGGATAGAATAATGTATTGTTAATACACAAGACACCGTCAACAACCGTCAGAGGTGTCAAGGGAGAGGATTAATATTTTGTTTTGCAGAACAATTCAATCTTCCTGTTCAATACAGATGCTAAGTTTTTTTACCGTAGTTAAATGTAATTAAAGTGCTACTGATCTGTACCATGACTTGTAAACTGGAGTCCACTGGAAAGACCTGAGCAGGAGCCACACAAGCACCCATCACTGCCCTACCCGCGCTGCTAACTAAACCGACTCACAGCTATAGGGTCTTTGAAATGTTATCTAGTGTTAGTTTGGCAGGATTTATGCAGCTTATTACTGTGCAACAGCCACAAAATATACCATTGCCTATGAAAGATAAATGATTACAAGTTTTCTTGCACAATTTTCTGGCAGTCTGGATCTCACTGTACAAGTAGGTCAGCTCTTTTCTGGCTTTCCAAAAAAACCACTCTTTTGCTCTTTCAGTCTTTCTCATTTACATAATGGAATAGCCATAGTGAAATGAAAACTTTTTGTTCTTCCCAGGCCACCAAAAGAGCTGACATTCTGATGGTCACTCTTCAGTTTAGTTCTCCATATTTATCCATAGCTGAGTACTGCCTGCTGAGGCTTTGTGCTGTTCCAGTCTTCCACTGATCCATTACTTCATCAGTCACTTCTTTTTCTAAGTCATTGTGTACCCCTCCACCCAAGGAAGGCAGAAAATGAGCTGGTACTTACTTGTATTGCTGTGTCCTGTAGATCCCTGTTGTGACTCCTACAGTGATAACAGAAAAAAAGGAAGGTGTATTATTGTTTCAGCAATTTTTTGCTGCAATACTTGCTTGACATAACCTTAACAGCAGAAACAGCACTCATGATTTGGTTTCAAAGTAATTTTCATTTACAAGAATAAGTCCAATATTTATTGGAAAATCCATTAATTATTAGGCTTGTAAACTTATTTCACAACAACCTTTTAATGGTGCAATTCCTTGTATAGCTATTATGACTCTCCTGCTCACTATTCACGTATTGATCAGCCAAAACTCGTCTATTATCTTCTACAAGTTCAGACGAGAAGACAGAGAGAAGGCCAATATATTGTTTCATGGACCATTGGATTCCTGGGGTAGTAGCACAGCTGGTCTTTTCACATGTTGACATTGACAGCATCAGAAAATGAAAATCCACTGGGTCCCTGAGATTACAAGGCTGACCCTGTATGACAACAGCAATATCTGTGAATGTGGTGCAATAAATCAGATCACTTTTACCTCAAGTGCAAATGTTACCTCACTGTGTTTTACTCACAGAATTTTTTTGCATTCATAAAAATATATATTAAAAAAGCCTATAAATACAACTATAAACCATAACAAAACAATAATTAAATCAAGGAAAAAAATAATTCTATGCCATAGATGGCAGCAGGAAAAGTATCCCATATGTAATTCTGCTTCTGAATAACCCAGGCACACACAGGAACACCACCTCATATCCATGCTGCAGTTACAGCTGTAGTTAAGGCTGCTCAGAGAGGCCAGGCAGACACAGGAGCACATGGGGTCATTTTCAGTGAGGAACTGAGCACTGGACCAGATCCAGGTCCACAGAGACAGAGGGATGAGCCAAACACAGAGCTCATGGGAGAGGAACTGCGGGTTCCCAGAGAGCTGAGGATGCTCTGACTTGGTTGGGCTGAGATTGTGATGCTAAGTCACTCAGGAGAATTTCTCAGGGGCTTGGGGATCCAAGAGCTTCATGGCCCCTCTAAACAGAGGCTGGCTGGATAGCAGGCCCCAGTGTCTTGAGGGCTCTCAGCTGATCAGAATCCCTCGATCTGCACATTTTGCTCTGTCCAGATTGCACAGCTTTCATCTGTAATTTTAATACCATAACACACATCTGCAACTTGCTTCCATCCTACATACCTGAGATGTCCATCCTACATACATGTGAGATGTCCAATTTTTGGGCAAGCCCCAGGAGTTTCGACCATCAACTGCAATATGAAAAGATCTGTACCATGTTTCACATGCCAAGAATAATTTCTCAGTATCTGAAATTGTGTACTTTTGACAAATCGCATCAGCTTTTTCTGAATGTTTCTGATGAAGAGAGATTAAAGCCTGTTTTTTTCGAGTGACTGAATGCAATCTTAAAAAGTCAAGATACACTTGCAGCGGTGATGTAGTGGTATGTACACTTGAATTTAAATGCTATTCTTGTAGCCAACCACACTCCCAATAAAAGTAGGCTTTTAGAGCATGTTCAGTTTCCAAAACAGAGAATTTATGTACCTGGAGAAGTTCAGGGAAATACAATTTTGAGGGGAATATCCTTGTATTTGTAAAAGTAATTGTATTTGAAACTTCTAAACAAGGATCTTGCTCACTCTTTTACCTTTTCATGAACCTCAGGAAGAGTGCACCTTCCCCTTTGACTGAGCACAGTATCTTGCCTCTGCCAAAGGCTAGTAAAAATATCTCATAGAGAAATACAGTAGGTTCCCACTAATGGAGGAAAAAAAGAATGTAACTTTATAAAAAAGGTGAAGCCTTCATTTCTGAAGATTATTTCCAGCATATTTCCTCCAGCTTGTTAAAACCAACAAGAAAAGAAAAAACAAATGAAATGCTCTTCTAAAGAGCAACATCACTATGATAACCTAGCATCTGCTGAGAATAATTACCCAATAGCTTTGTGACAAGAAACCAGTTCTCCTGGAGCAGCTAAATTAATTCTCAAATAACAAAGTGATGGCTGATCCCATAATATCACATATACCTAACCAGAAATCAAACACCTGATCAAACTATCAAGACAAGAAATCACAGTAAAAATGAAGAAAGAGAGCAAAGCAGGCAGTAGAATTAACAGCATTTTTTCCTGCACAAGAGTTAATGCTTGAACATGAAAGCTCATCCACATAAACATCAAGTGAACTCTTATTTACAAATTTAATTATTTATTGAAAGTTTATTTATTAAGATGCTTTTAATAAAATTAAAATCAAGAAATGTCTGATCATTTGTACATAACAAAGTCTGGCAGAGATAGAAGAAAGAAAAGCACACAGCACACACAGCTTGTCACATCACACATTCAATCAATTACCCTTAAGCTTTGAAAAACAAGAAATAAAGAGACTGTCATTGCCCCTTCCTGATAAATTCAAGAGTACAAAATAATACCAGAGAGAAAGAAAATTCAAAGTTAAGGATGAAATGGAACTTTATGCCCTCCATTACATAAAGGACAGGTCTCTAGTGGTGCTTCTCCAGGAGCACATTACTTGGAAACCTACTGGGCACTGCCACGTGTGTCAAACCTGACCCAGACTCTCCTCTCATTCTTGTGAATCAATGCAAACTTCCCATGCTAATGAGGCCTGATTTCATATAGAAGTACAGCATATGCACATCCATCCCCTCCATCAAATGAGTATTTAGTTATATTGATTGATACATCCACATGTGCAGTTTCAAATGTGGAATTCCGTTATATTTGTGATATATAAATCTCAGATATTTAGCTTTTTTTTTACCAGACTGATTTCAAAACCACTCTAGCTCTAGTTGCTGTGGCCTTTGCAACTTTAATAGCCTAATTAATAAATTTCAAGTTTCAAGCTGTCAGATCGCTAATTACTTGAATTGCAGGTTAAAAGCAGTGTGGCATGAATGCGAACTAATGATGCTGACACTCAGTTTTCATGGACAGAAAAGTAGTTATGATTTGCATCCTTGTAACAGGGCAAGAGCCTGACAAGCTTCTCTTGTTCCTATTCCCAAAATGATGAGTTTTTTTATGTTTGGGAACTGGCTTCTGTTAAAAGTGGGTGCAGCCTACTTGCTTCTCTTTCTGGAAGAGTCCCTGCAATGGATTGAACTGATGTCTCAACATTGCCATTAAGACTGAAAAGGAAATCATGTTACTGTGCATGACTTGGAACTAAGAGATGAAACTGTTGCCCTGATTTTAGCCTTTCAGTCTCTTTATTGGCCTTGGTCACTAGTTAACTGACAGACACATTTATCTGAATAATGTGCGATCCACTAAAGTTTGATGCAGCTCTCAGTTTTTAAAAAATAGGGACAGCTACACAGTTTACCTGTGGGAAAGCTTTCCAAGAGCTCTGGAAACATTTCCTATGAGGTCCAATAAAGATTTTACATCATGCTTT